GGGGGGGGGGGGGAATTCTGCTAGTTAACAAACACCAGAGGAAGTCCAATCAATTTTCAGTGAGAAAGTTAATTTATTCATTCATTATAATGCACTCAAGGGTGTGCTATACGTGTTGGGTAGCAAAACCAGGTGCACATTCTTGCCCATACACGCTTGTTTGCTAGGATATTCTGCGAGAGTGATAGCAGTTATTGTGCTGAATTCATATCACAAAACTTATCGCTGATCTTTACAGATTTCAGTTTCAATTACGTCGATCCCTTCGCGGTTCGCGGTCTTCTTCTGTCGGCGATTGGTGGGTTCACAGCTCGCGTTTTTCTTTCACTTCCTGTTCCGTTTTCAAAAAATGTTTTGAAATGCCTCTTTACACCTTGATTCAAATGTGCCATGCCAAAATTCATCACAATAGAAGAGGGGTGTGAATCTCCTACTTTACAGCAGATTGGAATCAATTCTTTAGCCTGACTTCTTTATTTTATCGTACAAATTCTTCACCCCATGCCCACACATTTTCCAAGGTCTCCTCTAGCTGCAATATGCGCGCTTTGCGTTTTAAACGTCTTGGGGGCTAAGGTACAGCAAACCCCCCTTGGGTGGATCGACCCAACCGTTGCAGTGTTTCTATTATATATTTGTGAGAGTGGTATGTTGCGTCGATTTTACGACTGATCTCCCTGTTTGCTGGTTCGCAAACTATTGGTAGTAATGATAGAGCTGATAAGGGAACCGGCTGCTAATAAGCTCATTGAACCAAACCAGGCAAACTTGACGGGATCTTATGATTGTGATTACACCCTACTTCGATTTGAAGGAGCACACCATTACCACAATGAGAAACTCATCGACTGGGTGCTTCCATCCACTTTACAAGTTTTCGGAAGATTAAACCCTGCGAGAGAAGGAACTTTCAAGGGTAGCAGAGATTGGTGGACATCAGAGACCGTCACGTCACGGAGGGGAGCGTTATCGTGGGCGACTGTTTCGTTCTTTGGCCTGTCTACGGCAAGGCGAAAGTAGCACATTGAATACATTCTGTGTTATCTTTTGGTCAAACTGTACTCTCCTCTGGTAAAAACAGCTTATCGCAACAACCTGACTACTTTATTCTATTGAACAAGTCTCACCACCACATATCCACACATTTTCCAAAGTTCCTCTGGCTGCAATATGCGCGCTTTGCGTTTTAAACATAATGGGTCCCCATTTAGGCGGATCGACCCGACCGTCGCAATGTTTCTAATTTTAGTGATAGTGGTATGATGCGTCGATTTTACGACCGATCTCCCTGTTTACTGGTTCGTAAACTATTGGTAGTCATAAGCTAGCTAATAAGGGAACCGGCTGCTAACAAGTTCATTGAACCAAACCAGGCAAACTTGACGGGATCTTAAGGTTGTGATTACACACTGCTACGATTCTAGTGAACACATTAACCCCAACGAAAACCTCGTCAACTGGGTGCTCCCATCCATTCTACAAGTTTTTGGAGGATTAAGTCCTGTGAGAGAAAGAACTTTCAAGGGTAATAGAAACTGGTGAACAGAGAGAGACCGTCACTTCCCGGAGGGTATCGTTATCATGGGTGATTGTTTCGTTCTTTGGCCTGTCTACGGCAATACAAAAGTAGCACATCACTGAATATATCTTTTGGTCATACTCTCCTCTGTTATCGTAAAACAGCTTATCTGCTGTATTTGCACGGTTGCTTTCTAGAAATATCCACTAAGAACACAAATTCCGGAGATAATGGAGAGCATATTGACCAAACTGAACAAAGGGAAATAAAAACTTTATGGATGACGTTTATGGGTTTCCTGTCTAGTTCCTGATATCAGAAGCAGCGCTTAATCAGATGCCTGTCAATGTGGTCGACAAAGAGAACAACTGCTTACCCATTCGCTCGGCATTAAGTCCTTTTCGCAAGCTATTGCGCTCAATCCGTAATTCACAAAAGCGCTTCGATTCTCATCGACATTACTCAACTCAGGTACAGTTCAAGCAGAACTTATTTATTCCTCACTCTCATTTCATTGTCACGGATCACTGAGAAATTGATACTGCTTCATCCTATAAACCCCTAAACCATGAAATTTCGAAAGTGAGTTAATTCGCGTAAATAAGCCTGGCGTAAAGTGGTCTGTTGCTCGGTCGTGGTAGGTTGCTTGTTTTCATGGTTTCTTACTCATCGAGCTCACACCTAAGGTTGCCTGGATTACTTGGACTATAGGTCACCTGTACGTCGCTCTAGATTCAGCATAGAACTGCCACCTTAACACCCATGCCAATCGTTTCCAGTTCCTTAGCGTGTGCGGGAACTATGTAGGTGACCCGCCCAACTTTCCTGCCTTCGTTGGTCTTTTAGAGTTGAACGTGTTATGGTGTTGACGGGTGTGTACACACACCTCAGCAGTAACTTTTATTGTAGCTATTATTATCATTATCACGTATTCTCGATATAGAAACAGTGCTTTTACCCTCCCAGACGATTCCGGTATTGACTAACCGACCCTGGAAATATGGAAGGCTCGATTGACTGGGTGAGTACCGATCTGGAACATAGACATTGCCCAACGGATCGAAGGCAAAAGATGGTGAACAGGACATAGATAGATCAGAGAAAGTTAATATAGAAGAGCAAGCACAGTTTCTAACAGTTTTCTTCCTTTAGAGCCACCAGTAGGAGTTTTATCCCTTAATTGATGTTATTTGAGTCAGTAGTTCTGAATTGCTAGCTTGGAATCTTGGTATAGTGCCATATCAAAAATCGCATGACTTTCGTTTTAGTAGGTGCTTCTCTAATCAGCAATTGATTGGAGGATGTTCGGTCACTAGAGACAGACGCTTAGACGCATATAAGTTCTTTTTTTATGGCCTTGGGACTGATAAATGGTTCATAAATATGACACTTCATTCCATTCTTGTTGCGATTCCTTGTCTCTTGTGTACGAGACCAAAGTTGACTGCTATTCTCTACCCTTAACATCATCTTTGTACTTAGTAATAAAGAATCTATAGAATGGAAGCTAAGAAATGTTCTGAATAAAAAATATTCGAAAATAAATATTCGTGTTCGCCGTGCCCCATTCAAGTTGATCGGTCTCCTTCAATTGGTTTCGGAGTTCCTTAGCTTCAATGTAAAATGTCGCTCATGTTGTTAGGTAAACCATCCTTTTCTTCCTCTCATTTCGACCTCACGCTCTTTCAGTGGCTACTAGCTTCCTGAACGTCTCCCTTCATGCATTTTTTGATCGAGATTGACATCAACCAACATCTTTTTTGTATTTTCCAGCTCGTTTGACTTCTGAAGGCCACTTACTGGTTAAACTCTTTTTCAAAAAGCATAGGCCCTGCAACGGTTTTCCGTATTTTATCGAAGGTTTCTCTTTCAGTGGGGCATGGAAGCTTGACTCTCGTATATCAGCCGTGGGAAATCTTTCCTGAATTACTTTCAACTTTATTTCACTCTATTCCTCTCTCTACTTATTACAAAAAAGGAAGCATTTAATTATGTTTGTTGCGTTTGATTACTGTTTTATAAGCCCCACTGACTCCAATTTGTTGCACTTCACTCCACTGAGAGCGAAATTAAGGGTCCCTCACTTGCGAGCTCCTAACGCTTTGAGACTATTTCCTACTCTAGAAAAAGAAACGGAGGAAGATTTTTTCTATTGGCCCATACACTATGCGACCAGGCTTTAATGAGAGGTGGCTTACTAATCAGGATCTTTCGACTTTCATCTACTGAGAGTTCGTTGTGTTTTTGATGCAGTATTACTTTCGAACGGATGGTTATAATTGATCGAGAAAGAATAAAAGTACACCGTACACCGGATTTAAACGGATTGGGTCGGACTAAGGAGGAGATTGCGGGTAATGTAGACTGTTGAAAAGGTGGTGGAAGAGCTGCATATTAAACAGATACTTTTAGAATCTGCTTGAAGATGAGACTACGTGAGAATTTTGTTTCAGTTGCAAGGGTCGTCCGAGTTCTTCGCACCACCTCCCTACTCTGCTCGAACTTTTAGCTGCTCATCGTTTCTTCTAAATCCAGAGAACATGTCCTGTGAGTTCGAGACTTTCAACATGCAAATAGCTAATAGTAGATATATGTGTGGATTTACTGGCTATAGATCTTACTAAAGGGGGCTAGGTTCGCCTCAAACTAATCAGAAGAAGTTCCATGTATACCGTTATTTTCATTTCAGATGAACTTGCAAGCGATGGGAAATACTTGGGAAAAGGAACAACAATATCTATGAGTTAGTTGATTTCGTATTTTTTCGATTTCTTGGTATTCATTCTGCGGTTATTTCAGCTCCATCTCGCCCAGAGATTCGTCGGGAAGCAGAAGAGTTTGTCACATTTCTTAACAGAGCAGTGACACCATTTCATGGCGAGTGAAGAAATATATGATTTTTCTTCTCTGTTTGGTACCCTTTCATAGCATTTCCTCTTTTCTGCGGGGTTTTGATGGGAATGGCTTGCCGAACCTCTTATAATAACTACTCACTGATGAGATGTTTTTTTCTTCCGTTGTACCTGAGACATGTGTAATAGTTCTCCAAACTCTTTTTATTGAAAACTACAGCATCTGTAGAAAAAAAGTGTAGATGTATTCATCAATGTACGTTTTCCAGCTGTACAAGAATGCAGAGAGCGTCTTCTTCAAGGAGGTTTCCAAGAGTTGCACGAGGCCGCCCACTGGGATATCAAACCTATGGGCAAGTATTTTGTTACGAAGTGAGTTTATGTGACAATTGCTTTGAATAGCAAGGGCGTTTTAGAGCTCTTCGATCGGTTTTTAATATCATCAACGGAGTGGTGGGGTGTTATGTAGGTAAAACACTGGGACAGACTGCCGATAAGTTCTTATACGAAAGCAAGGCAAGGATAGGATCTATAGGATGGGATAGGTAGACTGTTGAACGTGAAAGCGTACAAAGACAATATAGAGAATACAAGGGAGTGATTTGATCATTAATTCTCCATGCCAGCATTTAAGCTTTAGGCTTGAGTTGATGCGCCATCAAGATTAGGACGTCATAGGGTTATGGCATTAAACTGCTGCGATGAATTCTTCTCACCAATTGTGTAAATAGTCTGATGAATGCATTGTGAATAGTTTTGCTAATAATTCTGTTAATAATTGGTATTCAAGGAATCGTTCGGCAATTATTGCCTTCGCGGTTGGTGGTGCATATATGCCGGGTAATGGATTTGCCATAGTGGTTGCTCATACCGATAGCCCGTGCCTTCGGGTAAAACCGGTGTCGAAACTACAGTCCGAGAAATTCAATCAGGTTTGTTATACATGTATCCTTATACGCTTTGGCAACTGTCTAAAGTTGCACCTGCGCATACATTACTCTTGTGCTACTTGAAAGTTCACCATATCTGCTGAATATATTAGGTTGCTGTATCAACTTATGGTGGTGGCATTTGGCGCACATGGTTTGACCGTGACTTGTCGGTCGCTGGAGAAGTTGTTTTCAGAGCGGTCAGTGTTCATGACCCATTTGTTTCTTGTGGTTACAATCTTCAGCTACTGCCAAGCCTGACTGCAATTACTCTTAGGGAGACACTCTCGCTCGGCGACTTATCAATATCGACCAACCAATCTTGTATATACCGAACCTAGCAATTCACCTGACAAAAGATCGCGAGAATTTCAACTGTAACAATGAAACACATCTACGACCTATTTTGGAGACGTTTGCCTCAGCTGGTATCAACCCATTCAAAAAGGATTCATCGTTGGTGAGCTTTTACAATAGACAATTCTTTATGAAATCCTTTCAAAATTTTACATCAATATGTTAATTAGATGTTTCTTTCAGAGTCAATCAGAAGGAACGAAAGATCCACGAGACATAGTCGCTGATCATCATGCAAATTTCCTCGATCTCATTGCTCTAGCTGCTCATACCACTGCTGATCAAGTCGTAGACATGGACCTTTATCTCTACGATGCGAATCCTGCGGTAAATATTCTAGCTTTAGATTTCAGAGAGTGGAGGGATAACTGAGTTGAATCCATTCTCTACTGGCTCTCTCATTCTCTTACATTCCTCTCAGTGATCGTGAGATTTTCAGAGAATTGGTGGCATCCATGACGAGTTCATAACAGGTGCACGACTCGATAACCTTGTTGGGACTTATACGGCCATGCAAGGTCTTTTGGAATCTTTAGAAGATGATCGTCATCTGCACGATGATATTAATATACGTATAGCTGCAGCTTTTGACAACGAAGAGGTCCGAAGTTATAGTAATTTTGCGTTAGTTCTACTGAAGAGCAATGATATCAATGACAGCTGCTTCAAGGTTGGATCCCAAACCGCGATGGGGGCGCAGTCATCATTTACCGAATATGTGTTGAGACGTCTTGCTTCTGGTGGATCGAATCCGTGTGCGTTTGAAGAAGCTATCGGTCGTAGTATTCTGATCTCAGCCGATCAGGCACACGCTGCACACCCGAACTATGTTGATCAGCATGAGGCAAGTTCATAGAGACTCAAATTTCGAAATGCCCTACAAGTTGACTGTGAAGTGCGGACGAGTTGCTGAAGTGTCCTTCTTTCAGACGAATCATCGCCCCACGTTCCATGAAGGAGTTGTTGTAAAAGTTAATGTCAATCAACGTTACGCCACAACGTCGACGACTCATGCTGTTTTGAAACAAATTGCTGCCGAAGCCAATGTACCTTTACAGGTAGGCCTAACCACACATCCCTCTCGTATACAATCAGGCTGGTTTTTCAGAAAGTAGTAGTTCGAAATGATTCTCCTTGTGGATCAACAGTTGGTCCCATATTGGCAGCTCGTCTCGGTATACAAACAGTTGATGTCGGCTGCCCTCAACTGGCAATGCACTCAATACGTGAAATGGTCGACACAAGCAGTCTCACCCAGGCTACTAGGCTCTATGCGGTATCTTTTATGATTGCTTGGCTAAGTCCCAGAGCTAGCATAACCTTCAATTTGCTTATTTTAGACATTCTTCAATAGGATGCGGTACGTACTCCCATCCCTGATGTAAAAGAAGGTCATTCATAAAGGAAAGCGAGTCACAGTTTCATACTTAATACAACTTGCTTTGTTTAATTATTATACACTTCGATCTTCTTAGACCCTCTTTTATTTCATTCGGGCATAAAAAGTTCTGACACAGCAGAATTGTCTATTGTAACAGAGGAATTGTAAAACTAAGGACACTTTTGGCACCTATGCATTCATGTAAGCTTCATTGAAGACTTGCTTTGTAGTTCTGCAAGGCGATCATGCTTGCAGCAGTGTCAGTAACAACGGCGATTCCCGATAATGTTACCTATACATAGTCTTAGTACTCATAGTGAAAAAGACTGGGAAGCACAGGTGTGCTCATTGTTAGGCAACTAATCATACCAGGAGCACAATTCACTCTTCGACTTTCGAACTATGACACATAGATTTACTTCATCACTGGCGAAAATACATAATCTCTCTCTTTAACATAGGTGGTGACCACCTGAGTTGGGCTTACCACTACAACAACGGATCGTTCTTCATTACAAAGAAGTAATATAAAAAAAAGTTAAGACTACGTCAAGGAAGACAAACCATCGTTTGCTTCTGTACACAACCTGCGAAACAGAATAACCAGTCATTACCTACACAATTCAGAACTGCACCTATAACAGCTACCTAATAACCCAAAAGATAAAGCCTGTGACAGGGCTCCAAATAGGAGGAAATCATGAAAATAGAATTTAACGATCAAAGCTGTGAGGGTACTTTCGAGCAACCGCTTACAGATAAGCTTATGTGCAGTGCTTGAATGCTATTAGGGTACACGAAAAGTTTTAAGAAAATTCAGTCGGTTTTTTAACACAAAATAACTACTGCAACAAAGTTAGTTCAGTAATTAAAATAGTATCCCTTCAGAACCCAATGTCTTTCCATCAGGGCGCTGATGCCAGCCATTTCTTCGAAAAGAGTAGGGGCGCGACGCAATCCATTCATCTATTACCTACTTGATTTTCTGACGAGTGTTGAAATTTCCCCCTTTCAAGCAGGCCTGTTGGCTTCTGAAAATAATGTAGTCATATGGGTTGAAGTCAAGTGAATATATGGGGAAAGGGGTAATCAGGTCATACTGAGCCTTTCCAGCTTCCCCATCAAGGCCTCGCATGTGGTGACCGAGCATTATCCATCACAAGCGAAAATTCCCTTGTAATCGGTGTGAAATGGAGGCTCGAATACCATCTCTCTCAGCAGTGAAAGAATGAGCTCATGTTCTTCTTGGCATGAGCGCCTCGCTTTATAGCGAGCTGTGGCCTTACGTCCAGTGGTAGGCATTGCGATTTCCTCTACAGTTTTCATATGACGTCTATGTTTCATCCTGAGCAATAATGAAGTCGGTTGATGTCGTCCTTCGCTTAAAGTTGACGAGCTTCTGACAAACACTGACTTGCACATGACGCTCCTGTTCAACCATGAAGTGGAAAACATTTGCAGAAAGAGTCCTGCCTTGGAAGAGGCTTTTGCTTAGAAGGTCGTGGATGACTTAGAGATCATTTTCTTCATTTCCTTAAACTTTGAAGAGGATTGCTCTGACGGCAGGCCGGAGCAGTATCGGTATTTGGGGACAGCAGAGCGAGCTTCGTCGCAGCAAATCTCTTCTCAGAAGAAACGATCGCACCATTTATGGTAGGTGACAAGAGAGGGGGCACTGCTGCCTATCAGTCATCACATCTCTTACAAGCTGGAGTGTCGAAGCGATCAGTTTTGTAAATGTGAAGCAGAAGGCCCCGGCAGGTTCGTCTGATCACACCTCGTTCGGTCTATGATTACCTACTTCCAACGACGACGTCAAATACCTATCGGCCGTACATAGTATTGATCTATCAACAATGTCCTTTCCCTGCTCTGAATAGAGTCCTGCTTCGGGTTCGGAAACAAATTGCTTCACAGTTGAGAGGCATAATTTTCTCAAAACTTTTCGAACACCCGAATAGTAATACAACTGATCAGGAAAGGCTTTGAAGATGATAGTTCAAAAGGTACATCAAACGTGAAAAGTGACATTAAATTTGAAAAAAGGGTCCTTAGCTTCAACTGTGTTCTGCACATCCGAGGAATGTGCTTGCGATAACATGCTGACGATTGTGGCAATTAAGTAGCTCATTTCCGTACATGGCTAAAATGAAAGCCTTCAAATACGAGCAGAGAGATATGTATCCTCTATTAACAAAGGACGAAACTCGACCGGACATAGAGGAGCAATAGAGAAAGGCGATTACCCGAACGAGATACAGTTATTAAAGTCTCTACCATGGAACCTACCACAGGGGTGGCTGTGAGATTGTTTCGTATTAGCGAAAAGGGTGAAAAGACGCGTAATGAGTGATGATTCCATAAACTCTATTCGAGATGCAACGTCTCTGACAGAGTACCGGTGTGCCTTAACCCATTGGCGACCGCGCCCTTTTTATTGTTCTTACATTGACTTTTCATTTTTCTTATAACTGTAGTAGGGAGTGAACGAATCCTGGACCACAATTCCTCAAGATACTCTAAAAGGCTGTGAGCTCAGCTGATACTTGAAAACATGAAAAAAAAACTTATAAGAACACTTGATAAATAATATAAATACCACAGGAGCACGATATGGTGTGGCCCGCCTACGGGCCACGCGGTCGTCAATGGGTTAATTAGTCCCTTTCGAGTGTGCCACCCTTTCGGGCACGGACCGAATCATGTTGAATGAATGACGATGAATGATAATGCTCATGGAGTATTATTATAATCAGACATCGCTAATTCTCAATGAATAGAGAAGGAATAGACTTGTATACAAAGAAATAGACTTACTACTTCGGGCATGAATTGAACTAAAACGATACTAACACCCCAGATCACGTTTTTCTCCACGGCTATCATCGGCGAGAGATGGAACAAAAACACAAACGGAAGGCTCAGTCGCGAATAACCAGGTGCCACGCTACTACTTTTTGAACCCTCAATTTGGAAGCCTCCGCCCGTCTTTGCTTGAATCTCTGGCCACGTCAGCAATGGTAAATAATAAATAAATAGCGGCAGCAGTAAAAAGTTTTCAGCCGAAGACAGTAGGTTAGTACTGGGGTTCTTTTCTAGTTCTGCGAGTAATGTGGAGTCGCGTCCTACAAACTCTCAAAGGCGAAACGCCACAATGCGAGCGTGCGCCCATGGTTGTCAAATCGTAAGGGCGTCGAGCCCTAGCTGGCATTCCCAGCTAACTCTAATCGCAAGGGTTCGTAATGTACTCTCACTCCATGGAATCGTCGAGCTAAGCAGTTATCAAGGCACAGTAGGCAACTAGATGATCAACGAGGCTGAAACACATAGTCGCCAAAGTCAATTAGGAGGGGGTAGTAAAGTAAAGGTTTCATCTTGTTGCCAGTTAATAGAGTAGAATATCAAAACGACTTCACCTCGAACGAGTCTCACGAAACATCAGCATGCTTTGAAAACCCGCACTCTGCACTGTTGTATGATTTAGCTACGCCGAATGAAAGCGGTTCAGCACTACTCCAACCGCTGCCGTTGAAAAGATAGAAATTGCTGGTACAATTTTGCTTCTGTAAGAACTTTCTGTAAAAACGAAAACCCATTTAATCAAAAATGGCACCTCATCTGGGATAGAATAAACAGGCTCTTCTTTCAACACGGGAGCTGGACTTTCATCTCTCGTGATAGGGAACTTCAACTTAAAGTAACCCTCAAACTATGTGGTCGATTCAAATAACATATCCCTTTATTTCTCTGTATCATTCATAGCTGCAATGGAAAAAAAAAGAATACCTTCCGTTCTGTGGGTACTATTTGATCATTTCTCAACAAGACGTCGCTTGCAATGTACGGGGCATGATCGATTGAGAAATTTGTGCACTGATAATTCTGGAATAGGAGGATTTGACTCGCTATATTTTTCAAGGAAATTACTAACAGCTCTTCCGCTCCTCTTTAACCTATATTTGAAGCAAAATACAGATTAATATAAATAGGGATAAGTTGAATAAATGCTCATAAACGGGAAATCAGGTGGCAGGTGTCAGGTTGGAGATGAGTGGTGCTTTGGGCAAGAACAACAGGGCACATAGAGCTCAGCGGAACCCGCATACAGGGGGCGAACATGCACTGCAATGGTTGCTGCTGAAGGCAAAAGTACTTATTATGGCTCCGAGAAAGCCCAGACAATGGGAAAATTAGGCAAAGGTTAGGAATGGTCAACAAATCAGATGAAGGAGACACACCTGCTGTGGGCGGAGCCTCCTCATAGTGACTGTCTCGTTCAGTGACTGGTACGTTTCACGCAAACTCATAACTAGATTAAACGAAGGTGTGAAGGCCAGAAAGAAATATAAAGGAAGTTTCCAAAACCTATGACATGTGGGGCACGCGAAACTTAGGCAAGTTATGTTCACGATGGGTGGACGTGCATTCAAAGGGAAGATGCAAGAAGAGTTCATATAACTTCGTTCAACAACATTCTGGAACGTGGAAAAAGGCGGTCTAGTCATTGGCCATGGACAAATCCTCAAAGTGGGAGTAGTTTCCACTGAGTTCGGCGGGACTAATTGTAAGATGAATAGTTTATAACTCTGATCGAAAACGTTCTACAGCTAGGGAAAAAGTAATCAGAGGGTATAGAGGAAAGGGGTCAGATCCTCAAAGTGGGCTTGTTTGCCTTGCAGCGGGCGGGGCTAAGCTCAAAAATCCATGATTCGATTAAAAATGCTCTAGATTAAGGAAAAGAGGTGGTCTGAGGCCATTGGAGAAATGCACAGGGTGGGCCAAAATTATGATTACAGCGCGCGCTGACGTTCATTGCAAATTTTTTCTATGTTCATAACAATTCATTGAATTTCTTCCATTTCACAAAGTAGCTTACGTTATTACCTTTCTAATGATACTAAACTTTGGGTAGATTTTTAACATAATATAAGCGTAACTAGTCCGTGAATTAAACGTTGTTTTGCATTTACAAACACTTTTGGCACGGTGCATCTACAGACGAATTAGCGAAACAAGGCAGGTATTGCATTCAACAATAAGACGCTCTCGAGAGTTGGGAACGATTGCAGATAGGAGTGGTGAACCTAGGAAAGTGTGGTTGTATTTGTAGGAAGTTTCAAGAAAGCAGGGCAAAGGTCTACGTAGGAGCAAAATTCATTCTGAGTCCAAAAGGGTTAAATGAATGGATATGTCACGAAATTTTCTGCGTGAAATCGTGAAGCATCCCCTGCACAACGAGACCGTTATACGATCAGAAAGTGATATCCCCAGAGAGCAGGTTAAAGAGAAGAGAAAGGTTGGCTAACAAAAGCTGCCTGTCGCATCCGAAAAAATTGTCCTACGAAATTCCTGTTCACCGACGAGAAAAGATTCACAGTGAAATAGGTGCTCAATAAGTAGAGCGATAACATTTATATGAAGCTTAAAGAAATGAAAGTGATACAGCGCCTGGNAGGGAACTTCAACTTAAAGTAACCCTCAAACTATGTGGTCGATTCAAATAACATATCCCTTTATTTCTCTGTATCATTCATAGCTGCAATGGAAAAAAAAAGAATACCTTCCGTTCTGTGGGTACTATTTGATCATTTCTCAACAAGACGTCGCTTG